AGCACCTCCAGCTTTTTATGCCAGTTCTTCCTCAGTACAAAGCTATCTCTCGTCCCGTTTATCGTATCCGTTTTGTCAGTTTTTGGGATTGACTACAACATCAGTGTGGCAGTGCGTTTTCCTTTGCGGTACAGTTCTCTTGTCACAAAATACCGCGTGCATTTGTATAACGTCGCTGCTTGGACAACGGGTGTAGCCATTGGTGGAATCCCTGTATACGCAGCGCTGGCAAGCACGCTTGTAGCATCCGGACGACATTTTGGCATCAAGGATTTCTGCGGCCATCTTCAGCCTTTGGAGCCAATCGTAAAATATATACTATTCGCATTGCTTTTCTTGGGCGTCTTCGGGACACTTGTGATAAAGATCCGTTTATTCGTGACAATTAAACGTTTGCTTTGCAATTCCACCAACGTTGCTCCGGTGAACATCACTTCAAAATGTTCCGCTAGTCACCTGTCCAAGATTTCCGCCGTCATGTTTTTGAGCTTGGTATGTTGTTGGTTACCATACCTGTTGATGTGTTTTATATACACTGCCATTGAGACTTTCTGGGGTATCGGATTACAGTATTCTACCTCGTTTTTGCTTTTGTTTCACTCTTTGTTCAATCCGTTTCTGTACAGCCTACGTATGCCAGAAGTTAGGGAAGCAATTTTAAGAATGCTGGTAATCCCAAAGTGTTGTGTGCACGTGTAAAGCGTATTCAAATGAATCGCCCACGCAGCAGAACAAATGCTTCTGATCATTTTGATGATTTACCTAAAAAATATTTCTGAGATGAGAAAAAGAGAGTTACTTGTTGCGCTTGATCTCTGTATCACGATTCTTTTTCTCTCTGTATCATCTTCTGAAACCTTTATCATCTTTTGTCTTTAGGTTTACAAGGTAAATGTCAAAATCGGGCACCATGCAGTTAACCTTTCTTTAGATATTAATAGGTGAAAATGTTTTATCGATGGGCACTTATTTATGAGAAGGTAATTTATTTGATTTATGTAGAGTGACACTTTGGTTCAAGTGCATGGAAAACCAGCTATATGCATGTGGCATTTTATTTTGGTGCTATAACCAATGTATATTTAAGAACGTGTGCTCTTACTTAAGAAATTCCATTTAAAAACCACGAGAGTTTATAGATATGAATAATGTTACAATAATCGTCTCTCATACTTCATCTTGTAAGTGAACAATTGGTGACTTGTAGTATGTGTAGTTCGCATTCAGTTACAGAAGATTTCAAGCGAATATTCACTTAAGATGAGATGATGTGTTTGTAGTAACTTGATGTGTTTGCATGACTGTACATACAGGACATTAAAAGAACTTAATCAGAATTAGAAACGAAATGTTATCAAATGATTTAGCTGAATTAATTACTTTTATGTTTCTTATAAACCAGTGAATAACAGAAAGATACGATTCTAAGCAACTTGCACAGGTGCACGTTAAATTATTGAAGCTGTATCCATTTTTACAGTTCAGTACCTCACATTTAACAACCCTTTATATCAAATCTATAAAGATCTTCGCAAGTCCGTTGAAAAAGCAAGCAGATCTGCAAACAGTCTTCACACCACGGTTACTTCGCTATGATGCTATTTTATGTACTGTTGCTCTATTTTATTTCTGTTGATGTTTTTTTAATTAGTTACATATGTATTACTTGTCGGAGTCGTTGTTCAAACAAGAAATTATAGTTTTTGAGTATTGTTAACACCTTTTTTTTTTTCTTTTATGAAAAATTAAATCAGATTTAACTTTATCCATCTTATTACTGGGCGAGAAAGCCAGCAAGTGTCCTTAATTCTTTCCTCTCCGACTTACCAGTAGGCCTAATACTGATTATTTTGAAAATCTTTTTTTTTTTAATGCAAAGCTACAAGATATCATAGATGAAGTAAACAAGAAATAAAACAAAATTTGCCGGTTTCACATCCAATTGACTTACACTATTGATGTGGCCTATATACAACCAGGGGCGGATCCAGGATAATTTGAAGGGGGGGGGGGGGGGGGGGGCCCGGGGGGGGGAAGCGCCCCCCCCCCCCCCGGTTGGCATGTTGGGGGACCGCTTTGGGACCCGAACATTTTTGGTTTTTTTTGG